TAAATTTAAGAATAATTTAGAGAAAGCATTAGTAAATAATTTTAAAGATAGAACTATAAAAAATATTTCATTAGTTTTAATGCTAGAATATTCATTAAGAATGGATCTTTTTATTATTTGTCTAAATATTTCCCATAATAGAATGGTCTAGATCTTGAATATGTCAAGTTTAAAATTATGTGATTGTAGTATAATGGATACATCCTACATAGAAAATAAAAATTACTGATTTTATTATGAGATAAAGAAAATTTTGATATTGAAGTTAATATCTAGAATAAAAAAATAGTCTTAATTTAGCCCTAATACTATTTGCAATTGGTTTATCTTGATTAATTCAGAATTTCGTAAATAAATTTGTGAAGATTGATTGTTTATAAATGCTTAAGATAAGATAAATATTTCTATTAAAATAGTTATTTTTAAAATTGATGATAAACTTCACTTATAGTCAGCTTTTTGTTTTATTTTGCATGTTTTACTATCTACCAACAACGACTTAATCTAATAAGTGTAATTATTATCCAAACTCTTCTATTAAATGTATAACAAATACAGAAAATGTCTAATGTAAATTACATTAAATTAAGTGATAGGTAAATATGACCTTCAATAAAGAAGGTGTTTAGAGGCTAAATAATAAAATTTAGGCTGCTCACCTTATTTAAATAAGGAAGCATGCATCAATTAAATGAGCAATTTTTAAGGAGAGAAAATATATTGTATGAATTATTTATCATGAATTAGGCGTATTTTTTGAAAGATGTCAATATATTGAATATGCTGAAATCTAAAAATTAGGGTGTGATGATAGACTTAACAAATTAGCTTGTATGAATTTATCAACATAGAAATGTTTTTGGGAGAATAAATGTAAAATAATACAAGAAGATATCAAAAATAATAGCCATAATTATCAATAATTCAGCTTCTCTGTGACACCTTACACTTGTTAATTAATTGAATCTGGTTTATGTAAGCATAAATTTTTAAATAGTTATTAAT